AGGAGTGGGGATGGAGGGGGGGAAATGAGGAGCCTATATTAAGGGCTCAAGTAGAAGGCAAATGTTTTGAGAATGATGATGGCAACAAATGTACATATGTGCTTGACACAATGGATATATGTATGCATTGTGATAAGAATTGTACAAGCCCCCAATAAAATGATTTTTTTTAAAAAGACCACAGTTGCTACTCATCAAAGGAAGAAAAATTAATTATATTTTTGGACTATGTTATGCTAAATGACCAGGGACGCATTTGGGGGGTTGGGTCCCAAAATATACATTTATGAAATAGGCAATACACATTCAATCATTCTAGCATTTGGAATTTTCTGAACTCATTTCCATTAGACAATGATGGCCCCAATATGTACATAAAGACAGATATAAATAATTTGACCACTTGGGAATGTTAAATTTTATATCATCAAAGGACCACAGGGAAAGGGCATGCCCCAATTCCAGCCCATATTTTTTGGACCTCTCCAAATATATCCTAGGTGTTTAACATTTACAATCTGAAAGTCAAAGATAAGAATGGGATCCATACTTTGAGCTAATTCAACCACCATCAAGTCATTTCAAACGCAAGTCTTTAGTGAATAAAAAACAAAACCAAAAAAAATCCTGTTTTATTTGTGCTTACCAATTAGTGGCCTCAGTCCTGTGGCTAAGGACTCCAATCCAAACTCACTGACATCAAGTCAATTCTGACTCATGGTAACCCTATATAACAGGGCCGAACTACCCCTGTGGGTTACTGTAAGTCTTTATGGGCAGAGATAGCCTCATCTTTCTCCCAGGGAGTGGCTGGTGATTTCAATGAATAAACTACTACACTTCCAGGGCTCCTGGAATAAAGATTAGATTGGGACAGGAATGGGGAAGACTAGGAAAACAATAAGGATAAGTGGAAAGTTGAAATAGAAAAATGCCAGATTTCAATAGTCTTATATGCCCCTTAAAGGTACTTAAGCTACAGGTTGCCTTCCCCTTTAACTTACTGCTTTATTGTACAAGCCAAAGAAATGATGGCAGGGAATTGTAGACCTACCAGGAGAGTGATCTTCTAGGTAGCCACTCTTTTCTTGGCTCTGCTCTGGCGTTTTAGACATACGAGGCATGCTCTCTTCTTCAGTAGGATCATTCTGGGAGACAGTGTCCTCAGTTTTAGGCATCTTGATGTTATCTGGAATTGAGGAGTAAAGAAAGGGAAACATGTTGATGTCATACCTGACTCAGATCCAGTAGGCGAGGGGAGTCTTCGGTTTTTATTTTGTGCCCTAATGTCTGAACCTACTGCTCCCAGGTTGTAGGGTTAGAGATAAAATGTGTCATCCAATGGATGGATGGATTGTGATAAGAACTATAAGAGCCCCCAATAAAATGATTTTTAAAAACCTCTCTCTTATAGGTATAGCTAGGGTCTTGAAATACTGAGGGAAGGAAACCATGGGTATAACATAATTGCTTTTCCGGGGGGTGGGTGGGTGGGTGAGCGGGGAGCCTAACTGATCTTATGGAAGAGGAGACACCCAGAGAAGTTCAATGACTCGCCATGCCAGAGTACAGTTTATAAATGGCTGAGCCAGGATAGGACTCTTCTGGTTGTCTTTAATTAGTTCTAAAAATGATCCCCCTTCATCTGTGAATTTTAACCCAGGCCTTCCTCTGGTGTTCAAGAGGGATGGTAGCCTGACTTACCCAAAAAATCACTCCCAGACCACAGCCATTCAGCCCTTAAGCTCTTACCTTACTTCCTTTCCTCCTAGACCTGCCGGCCGTCCCACCGTTGAGCTGCAGTCTGCCGCTGTGGTCGTTGGGCAGGGCGGTTAACTCCCAGAATGTACCATTATAGCTTAAGCGGGGGGGGGATCAGGAGGGAGGGCAATGGAAAATACCATTAAGATGATGACGTCTATATCAAGACCACCCCTGGCCAATGTTGAGTGGAAGAGTCCATTATTTGAAAGCATTGAGTGGCCTGTTTCCTAGGTAGTGAGGCAAGGTCAGACCCCTTAGGTACCTGCAATATGGGTAGGGAGTGGGGCTGACGTTAGGGTTAGAGAAGGAAGCGAAACTGACTTTTGAGGAGATTTCTGGCCCATGCCCTTCATTGCAGGCTATAAGATTAATTCAGGCCCTTTTCTCATCCACAGGTGGTAGTATCCAAAGCTTTTACTCTTCTTTTCTGCCCACCGCACCTGCTCTGTATATTCTTTTTTTTTTTTTAACATTTTATTAGGGGCTCATACAACTGTATCCCAATCCATACACACATTGTGTATACTCACTGCTATCGAGTCAATGGCAACTCATAGTGACCCAATGCCCCTTTGAGTTTCTGAGACTGTAACTTTTTACCTGCGTGGAAAGCCCTTTCTCCCGTGGAGGGGCTGGCGCTTTCAAACTGCCATTGTTAAGGATCACAGCCCAACCACTTGCCACCAGAGCTCCTAGTACCATTTTAAATAACGGTTTAATTAGGAAAGGGAACATTGGTCTGTTTGTTTATTTTGCTTTCATCCCATGGTCTTACTATACCAATAGAAATAAAGAATAAACAGAGTTGGACAAATCCTGAATTTCTTGTTAACTTTTTTTTATAAATTGGATGACAGTTTACAGACACAGATCAGATTTTCACTCAACAATTCACACACATTTTTTCACCTCATTAATCATTTTCACAATGAAACATCACTTATCCCACTTCCTCCTTGTGTTTCTTGTTTCAGTTCCTCCTTCTTTCCTAACCATTGGACTTTATTTAATATTAGAACTAAAACCAAACTCACTGCCATCTAGTTGATTTTGACTCATAGCGAACCTATGGGACAGGGTAGAACTAACCCTGGGATTCAGAGACTATACATCTTTATGGAAATAGAAAGCCTCTTATTTGTCCCATTGAAAGGCTGGTGGTTTCAAACTACTGACCTTGTGTTAGCAGCCCAATGCGTAACCACTACAGCGCCACGGCTCCAAGTTAGAGGACTATTAAAAAGAGGATATATTAAACTCCCATTTGATAAATGTAAAAACCAAGAATTATTTCAAAGGACCAGTCATAGAAGCGCTGTGGCAAAGGGATGAGACTATAAGACTAAGGATGGAAGGATAGGCTAAATTTTAATTCAGATTATGCCAGCTGAATTCCTGACATATCCCTTATTACAATCTAGTGCTATATGATAATGTTATCTGTAGGATTTTTGTAGATGTTCTTTGTAAAGTTGAGGAATGTTCTTTTTATTCCTAGTTTGCCAAAAGGTTTTTATTGTGAATAGGTGTTGGATTTCTTTGGATGCATTACCTACATCAATTGATATAATTATTTTTATTTTCTTCTTTCTGTTGATTAAATTAAAAATTTAAGTCCATAGATATTATTTTAGATCAATTTATGTTTACAGAATGCAGAAATCTTCCATTATCTCTTCACTCACTACAGTCTTCCCTATTATTAACATCTTGCATTAGTATGATACATTTGTTGCAATTGATGAATAAATATTAATATATTACATCATTTTAAAACTAAAGTGCATAGTTCACCTTCTAGTTTACTCTTGGTTAGTATTATGTAGTTCTATGAATTTTGACAAATGCATATCATGTGCCTATCATTGCAGCATTATATAAAATAGTTTCTTTGCCCTAAAAATGGCTGTGCTCCACTTATTTATTCCTCCTGCTCCTTCTGAACTCCTGGAAATCACTGATTTTTCTATCGATATAGTTTTGCTTTTTCTAGAATGTGACATAGTTGGAATCACATAATATGTTGAGCTATAGTCACTAAATATCCTTCTAGCCATGATTCCTTATGTGATTTGTTATAATTCTGAATTATATTCCTGGGCTGTAATCTCAATTTTGAGGAAGATGTTTGCCATAAGATCAAGGTGTGGCTAAATAATCACCAGTCAACAATTTTATGGAAAAGGGAAGTCCAGCAGATCTTATTGGATTGAAGCCTTATTCATAAGGACTACCTTTTTCTGGAGAAATATTTAGTTGAGACAATCAAAGCACAATGACTAGAAGAGATACGAATAGAGAATTAATAGGAAGATAACTATAAGGTTAATGATTCATTTCCAGGTTTGTTCTGGGGCTAGTGCATTGAAATTCAGCTGTCCTAATAACATTAAAAGATTAAGAGCCTCATTAATAAATGGACACGTAAAGAAATAATCGTACTATGTCAATGAAATACCAATATAAAGCAATGGCTTCAAAACCAAAATGATGATTGGAAGTGAAGTGATATTTACTTAACAAAGAAGACAATGATAAGGAAAGTTGAGCTAATGACTACATGAATGTGGCTGATCTTCAGAAATTTGAGTCATAAATACCACAGGAAATTGTAAATTATGTCTCATAATACTCTAAGGATTGCAGAAGTGTACAATAAACTCCTAGAAAGATTGTGTGTGAAGGTGGGGCTTGAATTACTTGTTTTCAGTTACCTTCTATGGCTATGGTGGCCTCAAGTGATGGTTACCTGAGGCTAGAAGGATAGATATATGCAGTAACAGAATTTCTAAGGGACTATGGGTGTGGTAGTTACATAATCGGGTGCCAATTAGAGACTATTAAGAGTGAAGGGGTGGAGCTTAGCCTATCAATTAGGTCGCTGCTTGATGACCTCATTTGAAGGCACTACGGAGATAAATAGTTCTCTGGATGCAGGAAAGACACTATCTCTGCTTGGTATTCCTGATGACAAGACACATGGAGCTACACTAGAACCTGGAGCTGGAAGAGCCACTTGGAGACTCATACCAGCACTAAGATGCTTACACTGCCACTGGATCCACAAGACTTTCCACCCACTGGCCTGTGACCTTCCTGAAGTTGGCATGATTGCATGTGTTGTGTGAGCCTGAAGAGGAAAAGGAATTTATACACTGGTATAGGACATATGGGCTAATATCAGACTTATTGACTTGATCTGGCTGTGCTGGGATGTTTTCTTAAATTAATATATAATGTATTATATATATTAATATATAATTACTCTTTATATAAAGCTCTTTCTTATTCTCTAGTCAACCCAGACTATCACAAAGGGGATGATTCCTGTTGGAGGGCTCTCTCTCACTGCCATCCAGTCAGTGCTGACTCATAGCAACTCCCTGTGGCTTTCCAAGACTATAATGGTTGAAGGGCAGCAGGCTTTAGGCTAGAGCGGTAATACCCTCAGAAAAGTTTAGGACGAAGAAAACTTCTGAGATGATAAATAGAATTATCCCATAATGCAAGTTTTTTGTAACTATGATACCCTTGAAAGTTCTTTCTTGTACAATATCTCATCATCATTGGTATATTGCTAGCATGTTAGAATCTAAGCTAATTAGCAAAAGAGTTATAGAATTGAAATGGAATCATATTAGTAGAACTGAGATTGTAAGTAGGATGGATAAAGTTCCTGAAGGAGTCAAGGGCTAGGGTTGGTGATATGATAAGCATGGGTCTGGTGGGCCATTATGTGGTATTATGTAGGTAGAGGGTGACTAGAAGGGGAAATAAGTATGCTTGAGTAAGCACAACTGCAAATTTTAAGATAGTTAAGAGGATAATGGGAGGAAAGTAATAAATGTGATAAAGTCTGTTATGGTGTTGACAGACATTATAACTAATGCAGCCTTGATGCTTAAGTAAATTAATAAGTGACCAAATGTGATATTAGCTGCTATTTGAACAGCTAGTGCTATAGGTGAGGGACAAAAGTCTAATTATTTTAATAACTACTAATACAGGAATCAAGGAGACAGGTGTTCCTTAAGGAAATAAATGGATAAGTGAAGCTTTCGTTTTATAGTGGAAACCTGTGCCTTCTCACAGTGGGATGGCTATACCTAGATTGTATGAGAGGAGTTGTTGGAGTAAATGTATGAGAAAGAAGGCCTAGGAGATTAGTAGATCCAATAAGTAAAATTAAGGAAATGACTATAAGGCAGTGGTTCCCAACCTGTGAGTTGGAACCCCTTTGGGGGTCGAAAGACCCTTTCACAGGGGTCGCCTGATTCATAACAGTAGCAAAATTACAGTTATGAAGTAGCAACAAAAATAATTTTATGGTTGGGGATCTCCACAACATGAGGAACTGTATTAAAGGGTA